CACAGTGAAAGACTGCCCCACTTTGAGAGAATCACAGAATGTTTTGGGTTGGAAGGGAGCTTAAAGATCATCCAGTTCCAACCCCCTGCCATGGGCAGTGACACCTTCCACTCGAGCAGGTTGCTCAGAGCCCCACCCAACCTGACCTTGGACGCTTCCAGGAATGAGGCATCCACAGCTTATCTGGGCAACCTGTGCCAATGCTTTACTACCCTCATAGAAAAGAATTTCTTCCTAAGATCTAATCTAAACTTGCCCTCTGACAGTTCAAAGCCATTCCCACTGGTCCTGTCTCAGCAGAACCTTGTGCAAAGTCCCTCTCCAGCTCTCTTGTAGCCCCTTTTGGTACCAGAAGGTGCTCTAAGTTCTCCCCAGAGCCTTCCTTTCTCCAGGCTGAACAACCCCAGCTCTCTCAGCCTTTCTGAGGTTCTCCAGCTCTCTGAACATCTCTGTGACCTCCTCTGGACTCATCACTCCAGCAGATCCTCATCATTCTCCTGTGCTGGGGACCCCAGAGCTGGGTGCAGCACTCCAGGTGGGGTCTCACCAGAGCGGAGCAGATGGACAAAATCCCCTCCTTCCACCTGCTGGCCATGTTTTTTTTTGACACAGCCCAGAACAGGGTTGGTTTCTGGGCTGTGAGAGCACAAGGCCAGCTCATGTCAAGCTTCTCATCCACCAACACACCCAAACCCTTTTCCTCAGGGCTGCTCTCCATCTGCTCAGCCTGTATTTCTGCTTTGGATTGCCCTGACCAGGTCCAGGACCCTGACTGAACTTATTAATTTAACAGATCAGGAAAGCTAACAACCTGCCCAGATGCTGAAATTGGATTCAAAAAATCTACGCAAGGAAAGTAAAAAGCCTTTTATTTGGATGGACCCATTTGCCCACAGTGACAAAATACTCAGGAAAAGTAGGGAGAGAAGAGGAACAGACAAGTTATCCCAAAGGAACTGTTTCCAATTGAGAAATCACTCTCTATAATACAATAAACATTGAAATATCTTCTTACAGGACTTTTGTTCAATGGTACATGACAAAAAAACCTTCAAAACCACAAGAATGAGGAAAAATTCCAGTGATATTAATGATCTGAGGGAGACTTAAGAGGAACACGCTAAAGCATGAGAGACTCTTGTGTTATAAGCTATAGCAATGCATTCATTGTTGTTTATCTTCAAATAATCTTCTGATCACCACCCTACCACTTCCTGTCCCAAGACATAAAAGAGACAGAAGCCAGGGAGCTGTTGAAGATTAGGGACTGACAACTTCTCGCCAAAGAAAAAAAGTGGACCTAAAGTTAAACATTAGACACTTCTGTCAATTATTTATTCATCTGCAACTATATGAACCCTACAGTTGTTATTTTAACGTATTTAGATAGTTTATAAACTTTTCTTGAATATTATTTGCTTAGTGCCTACTACTGTTGAATGAAAAAAGCACTTGACAAGATACCTGCTCGAATGAACAGAGTCAGTTGTTTTGGTTAATTGATGAATACATCCTTGATGGCAAAGAATGTTTAGCCTATAAGATGGTTATAAGCACCTACAGGAGGACATTATGCACTAATGTAATCAGTGTGTCTTAGAAAATGAACTTTGAATGGAAAGGCCCTTTCATCAGACAATAAGAAGTAAAAACCTGTGCCATCTGTACAATCTGCAGTTCATTTGGTCAAGATCTTCCTCCTCAGGAAATACGAATTTATTGCTGCACTTTATGTGTGTGGACACAAATGGCAAAAAGTGAATGAGGAGCAAATGATAATTTCAGAGCAGTTGACAGACACTCTCAAAGACACCAACAGGATGACAGGTGAAAATTATTTTGCCTGCAGTCATGAATACCAGCAAGCAACAACAGTGCCCCAGAGGCATCATAATTTTTTTTCCCTTGCCTTAAGACACCTTTACATAGTGCTTTGTTCTAATTATGCAACGGCTCATTCCTACACCCTCTTC